GTATTTTCAGTTCAGGAGCAGGCAGATATATTTCATTTTACTGTAGTTATCCATTTGACAGTTTTCATAATAAAATTAAAGGAAAATATTTCGGTTCATTATCATGGTTGCATTATGTATCTAACAGCCGTGGTCAGTGATTCTATGCGGTAAAGAATTAAAAGAAGCTTTTTCTTCTTTTTTTCGTCTTAAGCACCGAAACTCTTTTTAAGAAAGAAAAAAAGAGATTTTCGCATCCCAACTAGGGGTGTTAATTTAGTTTTATTTTTCATTTATAATAATGGATAAAACTAAATGAATCATTTATACTTAAAAAATAAATATAAATAAATGAAAAAGAAATTTATCTTTATTTTATAAAAGTAAATGATTCCTTTATATTTATTTATTTATTTAAAAAAAATAAATAAATAAATATAAAGGAATCATTTACTTTTATAAAATAAAGATAAATTTCTTTTTCATTTATTTATATTTATTTTTTAAGTATAAATGATTCATTTACATTTATTTTCCAAAGTAACACTAAATTAACACCCCTAATCCCAACATGAAAAAAAATAAGGCGTTTTGTAGAGACTTTGATTCTCTATCGGATGGTATAATTTGTATAATTTTTGAAAAAATATCTGGGTTAGAAAATTAAAATTTAAAATTTAAAAATTTTTAAATTTAATTTTCCACTCTGAAAACTTAACTTTAAGTTGCATTTGAGTTCAGATTTGTAATCAGTGTAAAAACTGCGTCTAGTGGTATATTTTTAAGCTTTATTAGAGTGAAAATAAAAATTCGAATCTTCTGATCTGATGTTAGCTGACCACGCCGAAGAGGAACAAAAAAGGCATCTTTTTGGATATTTTTTCAACAGTTTTGTTAGTTCGTATCAGTTCGCAGTGAATCACAAATTCGCAAAACAATGGTAAAATGCAAATTATTGTATCACTTTTACGTTCATATATTGCGATTCGTCAATTCGTCTTTAGACAGTTTGTCCACACTAATGTCAGTACAGTAATGTTGACAATACAAGAATGGACAAAACTGATTCGACCATTTGAAGGGCCGTGTCGATTACCTGTAAAACTGCAGTTCTCGGGACTTAGATTTTAATCTCGGCCCGAAATATTTTTAAATCTCTATCGTTCTACCTCGCAGCATTTAGAAACCACGGAAGGCGAACAACCGGTAAAAAGAAATAGGAAAATAGTCGCCAGATTGACTTTTTGAGTTAGTATTTGGCATGTGTAGATAAATCTCGAGTCGTTCTTCCAGAGAAACCTGTTTGCGAACGCATAGAATGTTTCTCTGTGACATCAGGTTGCGAAAAAACTGTCTGCATATCTGATGAAATTCCGTGACGAAATTTCCATCTTTTACGTTGTACAAACTCAAATCATCAGCTTTGAAAAAACTAACCTAATATTCTGATAGATCTCCTCATCGCTTACCTCCTGAAGTAGTCGTTTTTGGATTTTTGTTGGATTTTGAGTGTGAAAACAGTAAAAATGAAACAGTAAAAATGTCGTCATGGAATTTCATAATCTTACGATAGTTCAGTTTTAGGTAAAGTTTCTTTCCGAATTAACTTAATTACTTTAACTTTCCCAAATTAAAAAGCCTTTCAGACCAGGAAATAACCCTTTACAGTTTTATGTGTGTAATGAGAACCGAAACGTGAGTCGCTTCTTCAGTCTGGTGGTGGTGCCCAAGCATGACAAAATAAGCTAATAGCGCTGGTTGCAACTAGCTATACAAAATTGTAAAACGAGCAGATATTCTATAAGCTCGTTTCAAATTCTACAACTTTCGTCTGAAAACTTTTCGTGTCTCGCTCATCGCTGGAATATTCTGAAATCGGATATCGGCCCAGCTCTCGTTTATTTTGCACTTACTGTTCGAGCAGTATCAATTTTGAGCCAAAAAGCTAAAAAAAGTGAAATTCCGTGACGACGACTACTTTGGAACTTTCTTTGAGTGAATTTTTCTGTTTCAATAAAACGAGCAGATATTCTATAAGCTCGTTTCAATTTCTACAACTTTTGTCTGGAAAGTTTTCGTGTAGTTTCGTATAAAAATGCAATACTTTGGTTTCCGATTCATGAAGCTGATGACCATTTTGTGAAATTCCGTGACGGACGGCATTTTTTTGTCAGATATGTCGTTCAAAACAGGTATAATTACCATCAAATGTTGCTGAAAAGGTTGTGTGCAACGAGTTTCAGTGCATCAAGCTTTTGCGGTCTGAGAATGGTAAAAAGATTCATTCCACGACCTGGAAGGAAAGTCCTGGCTTGTGAATGGTCATTTTGAAAAAAAAGAGGACAGAAGAGGATGTTCTAAATGTTTTTAAGCCATCGCCTCACAGAAATGCCCTCAGGATCCGGTTTTTTCAACCTTGATTGCCTAAATTTAGTTTTATGTATCGGCATATATATATATAAAGAATATATCAAAAAATAACAGATGAACCACCCTTATAATCATGAAAATAGACTATTCTCTGTTAGAGACGGTTCATCTGTATTCAGAAGATCTTAGTCGAACTTCTTGTCACCAAGATCTTGACTTCTTGAATTTTCAGTAAGATCTTGATTGGTAAGAAAATACAAGAATGCAAGAAATTTCAAGAAGTCAAGATCTTGAACGAATAATTTCTTGACTTTTTGTACCAAGATCTTGGAAATCCTTGAATCATCGTTTAGTTTTACACTCTTGTGTAAACATAAGTGTGAATATTTTCACACTTAGAATAACTTCGAATTTCTTTCCTTCTTGACCATAGTTGTTTAAGAGACATTTTGCCACCACATCAACCATAGTGCCGAAAGTCGGTCAAGTGAAATGTTTTGACCTATATATTTTTTTCTATTTTTGGATACTGTGATCAAAACTGGGGTTATGAAAAAATTTTAAGGTCCTTTGGACTTGATTTCGCCGAGTTATTCCCTTGACTGAAAGTCTTGGGTCATACAAACGAAATGTCCGTCCGTCCGTCCGTCCGCAGTAGGCGAGCGATATCGTCGTACGCGTCCTCCCGAGCGTTAGCGACAAAAAAAAACACGTAATTACTACTTTTCTCAACAGCAGGACATCCTAGATCTGCGAGCCCTGAATAAAAAGTGTCAGAGATTTAATTTCACATATTTTATCTGCTGGCATCAGTTTGCTTAATTAGCGAGAAAAACGCTAATTTTTGATAATTAACACTTTTCACCGTGAAGCAAGCATTTCACAAATCTGGCTCTCGAACCGAAAATGTCCGAAACTAAATTTTACATATTTTATCTGCTGGCACCAACTTCGTGGCGATCTGTAATCGCGGACTGTTGGAGATGCTTTTAGAATTTATAAAGTTCGGTGTATCGAAGATTTTCAAAAAAGCGCCCTCCGTGAATTTTTGCCTATAACTTCGTCAAATTTTATCCGTTCTATTCGAATGACGTCTCATTCCAAAGTCCATCAAAACTGAACAAAATCGGATGTTTCTAAACCTTTTCGACCCGGAACTGGATTTTTCAGAAGCCTACCATTCGAAAAATGACTAATTTTAAAAACAAAATCTTTTCAATAAAGTTGATTTTTCTTCATCCAGTAGATTTCCCGCAAAATGTAAGTCAGTGCGTTTTGTAGTGCATTCAATATACAGAAAGCCATTAGTGCGTATCTTATAGTTTCCGCGTTAGTTTTGGTATTCTGCGACCCTCGTTAAACTGAATGCAGCTTTATGAGAAAGTGTCATAAAGACCTCCAAGACGTTTCCCTTTCTTCGAAATCTACACGTTGAATTTATTTACAAATATAGACTTGAAGATAAATCAGGCAAATGATATAGTATCACAGCTGATGATTGCTCCTAAAGCAGCATTAACAATCAGTGCACACGTCAGTAAATGAAGAGTTTCATGGTTAATTAGTTGCAGATGTTCAAAAGAACAGACAAGTCCGCAGAATCGCTGTTGACCACTGCCAGATCCAGTTTGTGATCATTGTTGAAATCGCCTGATATTACAGAATTTGGATACATACCAACCGTATAGTTGATTTGAGTCTGAAAGGTTCCATCCCCTTTACCAAGCAGCACACTGATGGTATTGTCGCCCGAGTTGGCCACTGCCAGATCCAGTTTGTTATCATTGTTGAAATCGCCTGATATTACAGAACTTGGATACCCACCAACCGTGTAGTTCATTTGAGTCTGAAAGGTTCCATCACCTTGGCCAAGCAGCACACTGACGGTATTGTCGACCGAGTTGGCCGCTGCCAGATCCAGTCTGTCATCATTGTTGAAATCACCAGATATTACAGAATATGGATTGATACCAACCGTATAGTTCATTTGAGTCTGAAAGGTTCCATCACCTTTGCCAAGCAGCACACTGACGGTATTGTCGACCGAGTTGGCCGCTGCCAGATCCAGTTTGTTATCATTGTTGAAATCACCAGATATTACAGAATATGGATTGCTACCAACTGCATAGATATACTGAGACAGAAAACTTCCATCTCCTTTGCCAAGCAGCACACTGACGGTATTGTCGCCCGAGTTGGCTGCTGCCAGATCCAGTCTGTCATCATTGTTGAAATCACCTGATATTACAGAAAATGGAAAGCTACCAAGGGCATACTTCACTTCAGTCTGAAAGCTTCCATTCCCTTGGCCAAGCAGCACACTGACGCTAAAGTCGTGGTAATTGGCCACTACCAAATCGAGTTTGTCATCGTTGTTGAAATCACCTGATATTACAGAAAATGGATTGCTACCAACCCTATAGTACATTTGAGTCTGAAAGGTTCCATCCCCGTTGCCAAGCAGCACACTGACGGTATCGCCGACGGAGCTGACCGCTGCCAGATCCGGTTTGTGGTCATTGTTGAAATCGCCTGATATTACAGAACATGGCAAGCTACCAACCGTATAGTTCATTTGAGTCTGAAAGGTTCCATCCCCTTTGCCAAGCAGCACACTGACGGTATAGTCGGCGTAGTTGGCCGCTGCCAGATCCGGTTTGTGGTCATTGTTGAAATCGCCTGATATTGCAGAATTTGGATACATACCAACCGTATAGTTGATTTGAGTCTGAAAGGTTCCATCCCCTTTGCCAAGCAGCACACTGATGGTATTGTCGCCCGAGTTGGCCGCTGCTAGATCGGGTTTGTGATCATTGTTGAAATCGCCTGATATTACAAAATTTGGATACATACCAACCATATAGTTCATTTGAGTCTGAAAGGTTCCATCCCCTTTACCAAGCAGCACACTGATGGTATTGTCGCCCGAGTTGGCCACTGCCAGATCCAGTTTGTTATCATTGTTGAAATCGCCTGATATTACAGAACGTGGATACCTACCAACCGTATAATTCATTTGAGTTTGAAAGCTTCCATCCCCTTTGCCGAACAGCATAACAAGATCGTTATCGTACTGGCTGGCCACGGCCATGTCTAGTTGCAAGTCGTTGCGGAAGTAGCCCGTTACCGCGGAGTCTAAGATGCGGCCGATTTTATATTGACGCGCAACTGTATAAGGAATCCCGCACACGTGTCCTGAAATAAGACAGGATTGAAATAAGGATTGCTCTGCAAAAAACAGCGGATTAGAATGGACGCGTGCGCAAAGCCTTATGACTCATTTATCGCATGCGAGGCTCGGGTGACTTGAAAATTCAGAAGGGACTTCAGGTTATCTTTCGATGAAGGCTTCATTGGCGAACAGTTTACCCGGTAAACAGTTGGATGAAGGGCTTGTTATTGCTGTTATGAACTTTAAAAGGCTTATTATTCCTTATCGTAAAGAGATTTGAAAATTCCAGACGGGCGCAGTTCGCATACAGGAAGCGTGGGGTAAAACAGTTTACGAGAGGTTTTTTAACGATGTTCATAGGCGGATAATAGTAGAGCTCATATGTCCCGCTGATGTTTTAACAGATAAGGACGCTTCAAATTCATCACTTGCTCTCTTCCTAAACATTAGAAGTACCACTTTACTATTGTTATTGGCTTACTACACAACAACAAGTAGTAAAAATTATCACTCACTTCTAGTAATAAGAATTAGTACTTGTATTGCTATTTTCTATTTTATCAGTAGTTTTTTAGTAGTAGGTATGAAAATCAAAAAGTAATAACAAACTAATAAGCAATAAGCACGGGATAGAGTGTTTAGTAAAAACAACACATCATTATATATTTTACTCCGAACAAATTTTACATCATAGATCCTGGTCGTTGGTCGCGTTTCTGGGTCGTCAATTCGTTCAAAGTACTTTTAATTTTAACCCACCGACTGGGGAAGCTATCGTTTGAATACACATGAGGAGAAGCTGCGTCCAAAACCAAGTCGCTGAGTTCAATTCAGAAAATATTTGTAAATACATTCCTCTTGAAGGGCAACCTTTTTTGAAGTAAATGAGACTTCTTCGAGGCCTTTGCGATATTTTTTTATGAAGCAACATTCAATATACAAAAGGCCATAAGCGCGTATCTTCTTGTTTTCGCGTTAGTTCTGCTATTATGCGACCTTCCATAAATTAAATGTGGTTTTATGAGAAAGTGTCACAAAGAGCTCGACGACGTCTTACTTTCTTCGAAATCTAACCGATAACCCATAATCCACTAGATTTCGTCTCAAAAGTGATTGGGCAGTTGGGGGCCTTCCCTCGTCAGGAATATCTGTACGTCTTTTGGAACATAGAAAGACTAGGTTATATTCAGAGTGTTTAGAAGTAAATGTTGACCGAATATTAAGTCTGAGATAGACTGAAATTTATTTCCAATTATGCCCTTGAATCGTCTAAATGAATTGGCCCGAATGTACCATTCTATGATCCTGGATCCGCTCTTGAGTAATCTGATTGACGTTGTTGAGAAAATTAGCAGGATCGATAGCCACCAGCTTTTCTCATCCATAAAACTTTAGATGTTAGAGAAATGTTAGATTTTCATTAAAGTTAATGTTTGCGTGTAAATAGCGTTAGAATACCAGAACGTGCAATATTTTGGCGCTCTGTACCCCAAAGAAGAAACACCTGTAGATCTTGATCTCAAAACAGAACCGACAATGACTGCCACGATGAGCACAATCGCCAATAAGCTGGTTGGAATAATGAATCTCCTCTTTTGATACCAGTGACGTCTTGGAAATGTGATGAAAAGTATCGTCAAAAATACAGATAGATGAAGACGAAGTTAGACTTACTTGTTTTTTGGATAAAGATATGCACCTAAACACGGAAATACTTCAGTTTAAAACAAACGATTAAAGTGTTCAAAATACCTTCGAATGGAGGTTCTAGTAGCATTTGTTCCGGTATTATCTGTTTCAAATGGATGATGTGGAGATCGGGCGCTGGGGTGAATTGTGATTGAACCACCATGTGAGTGCCGGGCAGAAGAAGAATTTCATCTTCGGTAACAAAATGCGAATGAGCTTGCACTGTTCGACCGTTAATGGCTTCGACGGAGAAGAGCGTCCGCGCACCCGTATTGCCTAAATACATGTTATTCTCGAGCACGGTCAGTGCAGTCGTGCATGATGAAAATGCCCACCATGTCACCAGGGTGCCAGGTGGAAAATCTGCGCTCAAATCTTTGGTTACCCCTCGCCAGATGGTCAGCTGTGGGACGCATGATAGTTTGGCCAGGGCAGTCAAGAACAGTTTCAGATACTTGAAATAGGGTTGAAGGTCCTCGCGATCCGCCGTCTTGAGGGTGTAATTGAGTTTCGAATAGAGACTTCCGTGCGGTCTTTCCCATTCGATCGTGTAGAGCCGAATTGCAGCACTCTCGTCGATCGTCAGTCCGTCAGGTGGCTCCTCTGGGGTTTCGTCGAGTGCTATTTGAACGTAGACCGATAAATCGGGGATGATGGTGGTCAGCGGAGCACATGCTTTCGAAAGAGGCAACAACCGCTCTTCGGCGTATCCTACAATAGGACCAGGGTTCATTTTGACATCGTTGATGATGTTCGTAGTTGTCAGATTTTGTTCTCCAGTAACATCTTCTACGAGTCGACGATTTCGATTGATGGAGTCGCTAATTGTATTATCATCTTCCTCCGCTGCTACTATCACTTGCCTCTGATCAACTGTTTCTTCTACATCCAAGTTTAGATGCAGCCTGTCAAACTTTCGCGGTGAATCACTCTTGATCTCGACGTTTTTGCTCGTTGCTTGTGATCGATCAGTTGTCTCTCCGTCATCAAGTGTAATTGCTATTTGCTCGTTCCGGACGTCGTCATCTGTCACTACCACTCGTCTTTTCTTTTTATGATTTTTCAGCTTCTTTTGCTTTCTCGATTACCATTGATGCTTAAAAATCAAAGAATAATTATTTTTCAACAGCAACAAAGATCAGTAGTTATTGCTACCTAAGAATCATTGAGAAATCATCGAAAGGGAAAGGGTGAATTCCAGTGCGTCATTCCTACAAATCGTCCTAGCGTGTTTCAAAACTTTATCCTCATCTCTTACTATCATTCTCTCCTGATCGCCTTCTACACTCTTGTGTTAGAGCTCAACAGCAACATGTGTGTACGTTTCAACCATAAGATTTAATTTCATAAAACTTTAATAAACGATCAGGTCGTAAGGACACACCTGCTCATTTTCAGGCTTGTGGTAATTGACCTGACCATCAAGTGTGATAACGTTGTTACCACCTTCTTGTTCTTCGATTTCAAAACTCTCGATGTTCGCATGCGCTTTACGACCAACATGCGTCTGCTTGTTCGACGACTTATCAACGGACATGTTCTTTTAATGTGTGCACACGCATGTGTGTTTCTATTATGTGGCTACACACACGCACTTTTTGTGCTATGCTTCAGTGCTCTCATCTTCACTGAGTTTATAACAGCATTATTTTTTATGTTTCTCAACCTTGGGTGACGTTCCCTATGTAGCCTTTCTTTCTTAGCCTTTCGATTTTCATGAAACATAAATAAAAAAATGGTAGAGTGAACGCATTAAAATCATGTGTTTTCATTGGTGGAAATTAATCATTTAGGGGTAGAGTTTTGAAAGATCACTTCTTAACCACATTTGTGACTATGTATATTTGTGACGTTGGTTTGGCTCGGTGAAGGCACTGAAGTTAACAACCGGGTTTTTCGACTTTCAAAGTTTCAATAAACTGAATTTTCCAATATTAGATTTTGAATCTAACACTTGAAAAATAATCTCTTTTGTTCAGTG